AAGATTTCTATCAATTTTATCGATTTCAAGAAGGCTTTTGACAGCGTCCACCGGCCGACTATGGGCTATCCTACATCACTATGGAGTCCCCCAGCAGTTTGCAGACGCCCTTCGTGGTCTCTACTCCAACTCCCACTGCTGCGTCTGGATGGTTGACAGCTGCACGGGTCCCACGACCCTGAAAAGGATATGAATGGATGAGAGCCATTCATATTCATACCATGTAATGGGCCAAGAGCCCCATTACATGGTTCCCGCACACTGCCAAGGGAAAGCAAGGCTAGCCAAAGATCACATGGCATTGAACATTTATGGAGGATCTGCAAACCGTCAGCCTCGTCTGGGACGAAGCCGAAGCTGTCGCTGCTGACCGACATCGATGGAGAGCGGGACGATGCCTCCCAACAGGCTCCTTCCGGTTCTTATCTATATATGATCCCCCAGTTCTACAAGCTCTTTGTTCTCACCCTCCCTCTCCTTTTCAATTATTTCACTTCTTCACTTCTATGTAGTACTAATCTGCCAGGTCCAGGAGCCGCTGCAGGTTCCCTTCGAGGCCTTCCCCAAACCGCAGCTCAATTCATGCTTAAGCCATTCACCCCTATCTACTAAAATGCTGTCAAACCTAAAATGAGGACGTGGGCTTTAAAGCCTCCCACCAAATAATGACTGTGGTTTCAGCCTTCTTTAGTTCTTTATGTCTTAAGTATTTATCTATGCACCTTTCTACAAATATTCTACAAATTTCATCACTGGGGCCATATATATTTATAAAATTTATTTTTTGTTATAGAATATTAACTTGAACAATAATGTACCTTCCCTATGGATCTTTGACGAGCTTTGGAGTTTGAAGTAGTGACCTCGCCATCTTGTAGTCAGCATTTTTATGTCTGACGTGGTCGAATGTGTTTCTTGTATGAAGACAATCTTAGATTTGTTTAGACTCACTAATGATTAAATGCAGAGTGGTGTATAAACACATAGTGAGCAAACCCCCAGATAGGTTGACCAGATTTAAGATTGAAGCATTAATTAATGGCAGGACTTCATTGATGAGTCTTGTAGGAATGGGGTCTAAAAGACACGTTGATGGTTTGAAGGAAGTAATTACTGAAGTTAACTCAGAAGATCAATTAGAGAAAAAACTATAAACAAATATTTTTTTGTCCATTTTCAACTTTATTAGAAGGCTCAGTGAAGAAACGACAGGAAAGCGCAGGCAGAGAGAGAAAGGGGAAGACATGCAGCAAAGGGCTGTATAATACAATTTAAGGCTGTGAACACTGTCTAGATGCTCTGAATATCACCTCACAGTTAAGAGCTAACAAATAAACAGTAATGTTTCCATGTTGCCAGGTTGCGCTGCCAGCAGCACGGTGTGTTCAGGTGCAGTCTGACAGGCCTGGTGTTGGAGGGATTTGGTGACGTGGTGTATGAGATGGTTCCCTGGGATGTGGACTTCCTGTCCTCTAAAGGGCTGCAGGTGGCAGGAGCTCTGTTCAGGTTCCACCTGCTGACTGGGAGCTTCCAGCGACTCCACCTGCCGCATTGCCAGCTGCTCTCAGGTCACTAACTGTTTCTTTGACATGTTTTCTGCCAGTTACATGTCACAGTCCCACCATGAGGTCAAACTTCACATTCACATGACTGCAAACAGAACCTGCAGAAAAAATCATCCTCGCCTGATGTTTTGGAGGAAAGAAAAATACTTTCTGATCTTGTTTAATCCTCTGAGTCCGAGACTTTGGAGAGAAGTTTAGATTTACATTTTGTGTTTGGCTCATTCCAGGGTTACCATGTCAGACACGTCTGAATTGCCATCGCTGGCTGACGTTTCTTGATAGTCTCTGGATGAATGTTTTTCTATCTTGCAGATGGTGGTCAGCACTTCCTATCTGTAGCTCATGTCACTGGGGAATGTGTGGACTTTATCACTCCAGGTCAGGTGACCGATAGTCATGTGACAGTTGATATCTCGGGCTTCTCGTGCTTTGGTCTGGTGACCCCAGCGCCCAGTGACCAAATTGCTGGCCTGGTGTTGATCTTCTCTCAACCCACAAATTCCACACTGTTTGTCCTGCTGCTGCCCAGGAATGTCTGCCTCACTCAGGTAAGCAGGCCCTGCCTGAAGGGTCCTTACAATATCCATGAAAAGTGCAGTGAAAGGTTTAAATTTCAAATGATTTATATTTGAAATGATATCCTCTGACACCGGTAACAAATACCTGAATCAGTCTTTGTGGCTCTGACTGATCACCTGATGTGCAGGTGAGAAAAGAGTGGAAGCGGCGGATTGGGGCTGAGTACGTCGAAGCTATTCCTGACTGCGAACTGATCCCAAATCACACATACAAACTGATTGGAGAGCCCGTCACAGTCATCCAGCCAGAGGTATGTCACTTGGACGCTGCACCTGCTCTCACCTGCTCTCACCTGATGCTTTACTTTCTCTTTGTTTACCATTGCCATAGTGAATCCTCGAATTGGAACTCCATCAGCTGTTCAGAAACAGGAAGCTGAGTTTGTTGACGCTGCTTCCTGATTAGACCGAGATCTTAATTTTTACACACACACTCTCATGAAGCTCATTTGTTGTTTTTATCGTTTCAGATATCAAAGTTCGTGAACTTCAGAGACTACAACAACTTCCTGCCGTCATTCCAGGTGCAGCTGAAGGCTGGAGCCACACAAGTGAGGCTGCAGCTCAGGAGTCATGTGGCTGGATCCCATCTGATCGGCTGGCTGTTTGGCAACAAAGAGTGTGAGGTCTGGGCCCGAGACATCCAGCTAAAAGGTAATTCACACTACATGTGACCTTCTTTTACCTGTGTCTGTAGTTGATTTATAGTCAAACTGAAAACACATCATGGTTCTTGAAAATGTGAGACTTTATCATGGAGGCTCGTGAACCTGCAGCTTCTCTTTGATTGTTTCAGCCAGACATCTCCATTGAATGTTTGCCTGTCCTGACCAGTGTTTTTTTCCTGGCTCCCAGTTTGTGCTCATGCGTCTGAATCCTGTCCTTTAATTGGCTGGTGTCCAGCAGTTTCAGACTGCTGCCCCCAGACATGCTTTTTGTCCTTTAGAGACTTTAATCAAACCAAACTTACTCTTTCATCAGCTAATCAGAAATCCAGCTGTTCCACCTGAGAAATGTTTATCAGGTAACAGTGATAACATAACTTTAATTAATAACTGTAGTTTCAAACATTTCTGATGACTTAATCTGAATAATCTGTTTAATCCAGAGTGACCTCAGATCTTTTGTTCACACAGACAGATCTATAAACATCAGAATCAGAATCCTTTATTAATCCCCGAGGAAATGAAATAATGCAATATATTACAAAATTACAGAATATAAAAAAAATAACTTTAATATAAACAAATAGCTCAATTATAAATATCCAGAATCTTACAAAGGTTAAAAATATATGATTGACATTTTACCCTAAACTGTAAAACTTTATTTAAATGTTATTTGTTATTTTACTGTAGGGGATGTGCAAAATGATGTAACTACTGCAGTGTGTACTGTGCATTAGTTGGATGTGATATCCACAGGGAGAAATGATTTCCTGTGTCATTCAGTGGTGCATTATGGGTAATCTCAGTCTCTCACTAAGCGTGCTCCTGTGACTGGGCAGTACGTCATGGAGTGGGTGGGAGGTATTGTCCAGCATTGTCTTTATCTTGGCCTCTTCGACACCATCTTAAGGGAGTACAGCTCCATCACCACAACATTACCGGTCTTGCAGATCAGTTAATGTGTGTGGATCTGGTCTGATCTGTGTTCCGGTCTCTCCCATGTCAGTGAAGGTGCTGGACTTGCAGGACGAAGATGCGACCCTGCAGCTGCTGCAGATGCTCAACCGTCTCGGTTCAGAGGATCTGAAAACCTTCCAGCGCTTCCTGAGTCTCCGGACTGATCCGATCTCCGTCAGCCGACTGGAGGCCGCAGACAGAACCAAAACTGTTGACCTCATGGTCCAGAAGTACCACGCCGAGGGGGCCAAGGAGGTAACTGAGGAGATACTGAGGAAGATGAGCTACAACCAGCTGGCAGCTGCTCTCAACAAGAGCTGATCAATCAGAAAACAGATGTTAAATTTTTTTTAAACATGATTAAATGTTTATAATTCTCTGTATGAACAAGGTTCAGTGGTTTATTTTTACAAACACCTGTTTCAATATTTGAGATGAAATTATCTAAAAGATTTTTTTAAAATAAAAAGAGAGAAACTCTTAAAGTGACAACAACCACATTTCTGTTTGAATTTCCAAAAATGTCACAAGATCAAGAACAGGAACACTGATTGCATTACAACTCCCCAGAACTAACAGGTCCGCGAACACCTCATCAGGAAACAAAGTGTAAAATCTCACCTATAAATGTCAGCAGATTGTTTCTTTTCTGATCACATTAAGTAACTATGACAGTATTGCAAATAACTTGTTTATGCACATTTTCATGTGTTAGAGCCCCAGCTTCATTTCAGGAGATGAGATGAGATCGTGGTGGCATTGTCCCTTTCATGTTTTTGTTTCTTTAATGATAAAACATAGATTTGATCCTTGATATCTTCAGTTTGAAATGCAGATAGGAATTAAAATGCCCGTCCACAGCATGCCAATGCCTACCATTTCTGTTCTCCTCCACCTCTGGTATGGGGCCAGTCTATAATCGCTGTGCTGATTAGGCAGAACAGAAATCACTGTATTCAAGATGGTTGGGCAACATGGCAGCTGTTATCTATTTTTAATACATTAATGATAAGTTCATGAGGGTTCCTCAATTGTTGGAAGATGTAGCTACTCACTAATCAATGTATATTTATGAGTACAGTATTTTCTTCTATTAAAATAAAGAAAAAAAATGACTGAGTATACCCTTCATCACATCTGCAGATGACATTTTGTGTTAGTTTAGTGTAAATGCTAGAAAACAAAGGAAACTGTTAGCATAGGTGCATACTTTCTACATGCATGCTCTTGTGGCTAAGACGTCTTATACTGGTTTAAGCCAAGGTGTATGGCAGCTTTATGTCGTTGCAATACCTTTTACAGCATTAAGAGGTATTGTTATTGTAATCACTGATGGATGCTTACTGTACACTCAGTAAAGCTGTGTTATAACCAGAGATGGGCAGTAACCCAATGCGTTACTGTAATCTGATTACTTTTTTAAAGTAACGAGTAAAGTAAGGGATTACTATCGCAAAAACGGTATTTACATTACCGTTACTTTCCTGTAGGAACGCTGCGTTACTGCGTTACTAAAACCGTGACTTTTTTGCGAGAATGTCCCATGACAATGACGTAAGCGAGTGCGACGTTCGTGACAACAGCTGTGTGCAGATCAACGATGGATAATATATCGAGTGCGGGAGAGAGTATGAGCGTGCAGCGTTTAAAGCGTGGAAGTACTGACCTTAGTTTGAGTTTGATTCCACAAAAAGTGACAAAAACATTAGTGTCCGTTGTGCGTGGGAAGAAAACTTCTTTTTACAGCGAAAACAAAACCCTAAACAAGCACCGAGTGCGCAACGACGTAATGGGAAATTCAAAGAGAAACTCGCGGATTCTTCCACTGACCGCTGCGGCACACCTGCACCAGGGTAAACCTCCGCCTACCCAACTCCTGCTTTACAGGTGAAAATAGAGCAACAGGGCCGCTAGTCTTTGACTTTATTTATTTTCTGCTGTGTTTTACTTCCATCTATTTGAAAGACTGAGTGTAAACACAAAAAATATTTTATTTTATGTGCTGGAATGTGCAGAAAATAGGTTTAAATGTTAAACTAATTTCTTCAAGTCAGAGAATGTTGCATATAATTTAATTTTTACTTGATGCATAAAGTTAAAAGATTAAAACTGATAAAACAAGTAAAAAAAAAAGAGACTTTTCCATTTGATTACATTTTGTATGATGGATTATGCAGAAAAAGTAGAATTGGGCTGAAAGATCTATCGCTTTATCACCTCTTCAGGTTGTAAATCGTGTTTTTAAAAAGTAACTAAGTAACTAAGTAATTAATTACCTTTGAAAATAAGTAAGCAGTAAAGGAACGGGATTACTTTTTTGGGGAAGTAATCAGTAATTAGTTACTGATTACTTTTTTCAAGTAACTTGACCAACACTGGTCATAACAAATCACTGATCGATCATTCTACACCTAGCTTGTTAGCTGTGAATAAAACAGAGGGTTTAACAAATTTTAGACTGACACTGAGGTTTAACCTTTTAATAACTCCAGCCGATTCCTCGGTTAAATCAGATCAACCAGTAAAATACAACGTCACAGACTTCATTAGAAAGTTGATTTTATTAATTATCATAAAAACACTTAGGAAGAATAACAGGATGAATAATGGATTTAACTCAGTAAAATATCTGAAAGTCAAAACTCAGGCTCATCTCTCAGATTTAAGTTTAACTGATGAAAAACAAACTGAATGAATGAATAAAATACAAATCAATTTTTTTTCTTTCTTTTTTATGAGAAACCTGTAAATGTACCAAACAGAGTGAAAACATCCTCAACTTTTCAGACCATTTGAAGGTTTAACAAAAGTTTTCATGTTTTCTGGAGAATCTGAACATTTCTTCATCTTTAGTTTGGAAAGTGATGCAGTTCAGTGTTTCTAAGAAACATGTTTGAAGAAAGATAAATATTTGTTTAATGTAGATGCTGAAGGACATATCCTGGTCAAAAATGACTCCGCGATTACTCACAGTGTTACTGGAGGCCAAGGTAATGCCATCCAGAGTAGGTATCTGATTAGATACCATATTTCTATGATTTTCAGGGTCAAGTACAATAACCTCAGTTTTTAGAAGTTTAGAAGCAGAAAAATCGAGGTCATCCAGGTGTTTATGTCTTTAAGACATTTCTACAGTTTAACTTCTTGGTGTGTGGTTATTGGTGGGGTTAAAGTCACATTCGGGGATGGGTTCAGGCTCTGTGGGAACATTTAAGGTTTCATGTCTGTAGTGAAGTGACTCCAATAAAAACCTTCGGCATACTGCTTACACTAACCATGTTCATGTTACATGAAGAGGAGTTACGTCTATGTGAAGAACAAACGATGTTATTGCATGAACACCACCGTTTCTGTTCCCAACAGGAAACAGCTTTATTGTTCATGTTGTGTCTGGTGGTATGTGTACTTCTTGTAATTTCTTTTTAAAGAGTGGACATGCTTTTTGTGCACCGCCAGAGTTTTAGAAAGTTCCAGAAATGCTCTTCAGTCTCTGTCACGGCGGCCGTTTTAACCAGTCAGAGGTGGAAACTGAACATCAGACTCTGATTTTATATAAAAATAAAGAATAAAATCTTTAGATTCACTGCAGCTATTTTAATTATATACAAACTTATTTGTTTTGTTACTAAATATGTAAAAATATGCAAAAATAAGTCTCTGGATTCTTTAGGAATATGCACTTCTATAATACAACTGCTACATTATTCTGTATTTGGCTCAAACTAAGAACTCGTTAAATTCGGTGTACCTCAGGCTCACGTCCTGGTCTTCTTCTCTTCCTCAGTTTACATAATTTATCTGACAGACTTTAGACTTCACAAGCTGTACTTGTGACTGAAAAACATTAAAAGATATTTTTTTTATTGAGCACTTAATTGACAAAAAAACATCACTTTTAAAGTGATAAATATATCATATTAAAATATTTTAAATAGATTGTCTTTGACGTTTAGGAGTAAAAAACCCTGAAAAACAAACTGTACTCACAGTAATACTGATTCAATACTAATTACTAATATTAGTAATATTACAAAATAATAAATTTCGTGTATAAAATAACTGGTCTTTGAGTAATTATTCAAACTTTGAAATGTGTAAAATAATAAAGGTTCGGGTTTGGGGCATGTTACCTGATCTTCAGACTTTCATTTTAAGATTTATGGATTTAAATTAGCATATTTTCTCAACAGTAATTTTTTATTTTCTAAAGTAATTGAAACAATTTCATTTTTTCTTTAATGTTTTCACAGGATTTCTAATTTTAGCTGGAAATATAAAGTGTTTGTACTCTAAAGGGTTCAATAATTTCATCCAGCCTAAAAATATTGATTAGGTAACCAATCATCTGATTAGCTTCAGGGCTCTTTGATGTTTTCTGTCCAATCAACTTCTTTGAGAACTTGAGAAAGTTAAACAAAATAAAAGGAACATTTTTTTTCCTCACTGCTGATTAGAATGGCCGCCGTGTCGTGACCTTTCCAAAGAACATCACCTCCTCTGACTGGCCAGGCTGCTATGGAGGGGCCGGACTTTAGATAGGACTTTGTGAGGCGGGTCGGTCATGGTCGTTACGCATTTCATGTTGGAAGGAAGGGTTGTTACTGGGGTAATGGTGGGTATGGGAATGGGCGTGGCTCCTGTCGTTGTTGGGGTCGCCATAATGGTTGTCGTGGTAACGGATGATGGGGCGCTTGTCACTGTGACAGTGGGTTTGGTTAGAGTCGTCTGAATCTCAGCTCTCCTTGCCAGAGCTGTCCGTAACTTCTCCCTCATCTGTTCGATCTCCTCCTCCAGCTCCTCCAGCTCGCCAGGCCGGGGCGGAGCCACAGCAACACGGGGTGGGGCATCTGAGGCAGGCGGGGCTATGGTAACGGGGGCAGGGGTGGAAGTAGCAGGCGGAGAAAGCGCTGCGGCTGTGGGGGGTGGAGCTGAAGCATTGAGTCTTGCAGAGGAGGATGAGGAGGGGAGCGTGAGCAGTCGGTTGGTGAACGAAGCCGCCGGTCCTCCATTCTCACACAGCCTGCTGTTTGGCCCCGCCTTCGGCTTGGCTGGACCCTCCCTCTCAGCCATGGCGCTGCCTCCCTTGGCTTCAGAGACTGCAAGACGAGCAAGCAGACGGCGGGTGTTCAGCGTCTCCAGGTTGAAGTGGACTCTTTTGAAGTCTCTGGCATCTTTGGCAGCAGCGGCGGTAGCTGCGGCATCGGCGTCCTTGCTCGTCTCGTTGTTCCATTTGGCTGAAGCTCCCGGAGCGGGAGGGGCCCGAGGGGGCTGAGACTTGTGCAGGTTACAGCTGAACACAGACAAAGACCTTAGGCTCAGAATAATGCACATAAGTCAGTGAGAAATATGTGGATAAGAAATCTCTAAACTCCAAAGGAGACGTTTAGCTTGAAGAACTGAAAAAAACATTATAAGATCATGTGTTTCTAATTTAAAACCAAGACTTTTTCAACAGCGTTTTTGCTCATGAAAGTTTATATTTATCGTACTTCTCATTCATGAATTATAAAATCAGCTTCATAACTGAAAGAATAACTGGAGATTGAAGCCTAAGGTTGTGCTGTTCTCTGTTGACATCTTGCAACTCCCATCAAAGTTAACCTAAACACTCTGAGCTCAGATGGTGAGACTGACCTCTTCTCTTTCTCAGCTCGCTGCCTCTTCACGTCCTCGTACGTCATGTTCAGAGCTCGGTGGATTTTCTGTCACACAGAGCGTTTAGTTTTCTCATTGAGTTTTTCACAAACATGAATGAATTATATAAAAGCACTCAGCTGAGATCATCCTTCTCTGACTTACCTGTGAGGTGTGCAGCCAGTACTTTAGGTTCTGACGGCGGCGGATGTGTGGCAGAACGAGTCGGTAAAAACCATGTTCGCCTGCCAGAGTCAGCAAAGCGCCGCTCACGCCGACGCACAGCAACACGAAGAGTCCGGAAAAGTGGCTGATGCCCATCTGAAGAGTCTGAGAGAGAAGGGAGTGGCGATTACTTATTTACCACATTTCATTAGTTCCAAATGAAACATGCTTAACGCAGAAGATAAAAACATAAGAACCTGTGCATGTTTAAAATTGTAAAGGCATTGAAAAGAGCAAAATATAAAACTAAAATAAACCAAAACAAAAAAAACACCTGATGAGTGCAGGCCTGTGCAAACAAAGAGATTTTGAGTCTGTTTTTAAATGGACGCACAGATGTAACTGATCTAAGGTCAGCAGGCAGCTTGTTTTAAGAGCAGGAAGATGTGTTTGCCCTGTCCTCTGTGCCTGCAGTGTGTCAGCAGCTGGTTTCTTGCTGTGTTGCTAACTGGTTTCCTGTTGCCGACTGCAGTTTGTGTTATGTTTTTTAATCTGCCTTTATGAGGTTTGATAGCTGTGTCTCAGAGTGACCAGCAGGGGACAGCATCTGCCCACCTGAGCACAGTCAAAAAAAATATCCAGTCCAGATCTGAAGTGTCCAGACGCCTCCTCATGTTGTTCTGTTGGCTTTGAGAAGGTTGAAATAAAATACATTTCATGAAAGCATCTCAGGTTTGATCTCTGAGCAGCTCTACACCAGCAACAGGAAGGAACAGGTGGCCATGGCCACACAGGTGTGCTGCTGTCACACTGACCTCAGTAACGGCGAACACACGGTTCCCACACGGAACCACTTTGTACCACTTGTCGTGCAGCAGGTCCATGTAACCATCGGATTTGTACCTGCTGATGAACTCGGAGACATTGGATGTCAGAGGAGAATTCTGAGGGAGGCCGATACCGTAACCTGGAAACAAATAAACAGTAAACAATAAAAACAACAAACGGCATAAACGGCATAAACATAATTTGTTTCTCTATCTGTCCAGGAACTGCAGAGAGAAATCAGACATTTGAGCAGACAGATGTTATTGAGCATAAAAGAAAAAACAAAACAAAAACATGACACACAAACAACAAACAAAGAAACTGTCAACAACAATCAATAACAGGCGATCAGGCTCATATTACAGAAAGCTGAACCTCAGAGGCTCTGAGAGGAAGAAAAAACATCAGAAAGGTGAACAATACAAACAGCAACATCAGCCATTGTTCATGTCTGTTTGTGTGGAGTGAGCAGACGGATGTCTGAGCCAAGAACAGGAAGTCGAATAAATCAGGAGAGAAAACCACGGACCTGTTAATTAAGAGGTCTAAGCAGTAATTATTCTGGAGGATGACGCGAAGTCTAATTAAACTAAAAGAAAATCTTAATTATGGTTCATCTGAAGGTCAGAGCGGGAAACTTTTACTGCTCATATTCAAATTTAAACTTTATTCACGTTTCAACCCAATGTTTGACCTCATAGAGACGAGTCACTGTGCTGATCTACATAATTTCCTGTCAGCTTTGGTTTGTAGGCCTGCCTCTACATTGGTCTTCTTCTCCATCTAAATCTGGTCCTACACTGTGATGGCATCAGCCACATATGGGTAAAACAATTCCATTCGTTCACTTTATTTATTTGGTTTGCAGCCACTTCACTAATATGATTCATTAATCATTTTACCTAAACATAACACTGATATTACAAAGCATGCACATAATAGCATTGTGTGGTTTTTCTAAAAATGTTTTCTGTTATATTAATTATGTTTTTCTTTCTTTGAGTTACCTGGTGTGGGGCAGTAGCTGTTTCCTGTCTGGGCAAAAGGCGTGGCTAAAGACTTTGAAAACAAAATGCCTGCTCAGCAGGACCAACAATGTTCTTAACAGAAACAGGGATGTTTTAGGTTTACTTATGTTATTCTGTGCTTAGTTAGTATTAGTGTTTTTGTTTCCTTCCTATTGTGTGTAAATGGTTTGGCTAAACCACTATAAAAGCTACCCTCTTGTGTCTTGTAATGAGGTCAGTTTGTGAGTTAAGTTGTGTCCACTTTGTTAAGGTTCTGGAAATTACATTTTATAGAGTTATATTTAGTTGACCTCTTTTATGGGCCCTCTAATTATATTTTTGAATTTTTTTTAAACGTTTTTTTGAGGGTTAAAATAAAGAAAACCAATTTTGAATATATTTTTTCCTGTGTCCTCTATGCCTTGGCTGCTTGGTCCCTCACGTACACCCACCCATCTTCCGTGCCTTTTGTCAAATCTGCAGATTCCGTTTGTCCAAACAGCTAAAATAAAGAACAGTGACGCAGGACTGGTGCAGACCCTCAGTAAATGTAAACCTGAAACTATGAAAGTGAGAAACAGATGAAACTAACAGCTGTGGACTCTTTATTTCCATTATTTATTAAAACTGTTATTGTTGACGTCCTCAGTGTGTGTTGAGGGATCACGTAAACTTCAGCTTCACTCCATGGATGGAACGATTTCATGTCACCTTTTTTCTGTTAGTCGCCATTTTGATAATAGTGATGCTGTATCAGAGCACCAACAGTGAAGCATTCATCTTTCTCTACAATGACTCGACAATTTGGCTTCAGACTCAGATCAGTTTTTCTGTTTCTTGTTATCTGAAGCTTCAGGTCACCTGACGAGTTTCATAGTGCTGGCTTGTTTTCTGAACTTCTGAACTATGATGTTTACACCCCTCAGTATGTCAAGGTTGTTTGACTGATTCACCAGCTGATCTTTAAATCGCTAAACTATCACACAACTTTGCTCCTCTCCTCTGATTAGTCCAATTAAAAGAAAACACTGACAGGAAGTCACCTAAACAGAAACAGCAAATGTACACTTTGACCTGACCGAAACACAGACGGAACACCCGCAGTATTGCTTGCTTACCTTCGATGGCAAACGGTTTCCCGACTGTCGCCAGTTTGCAGTCGGCATCGATGGAGACTTCGTAATCCAACAGAGCTTTGTCCATGATGAAGGCATCGAGCTGAGGAGGATCTGTCCTTCAACACAGAGCCACACTGTTACTACGGAAAACTCCAAAACCACACACACAGACAATGATGCACGTCATGTCTTCCTGTTTTCTTCTGACGTGTTTCCAGTCCGAGCCTCTACTGTGCTGGGATGTTCAGTTTTAATTATGATCGGCCTATCTTCATCAATCACCTACATACCACAGTATCAGTAATTAAATCGTATCTTGACCCAGCGTTCTTAGCTACTTATAAGCCAATCTTTAACCTTCCTTTCAGTAGTTGTCAAACAGCTTAAAGATCATCTGCAGAGGAATGGCTTGTTTAAAGAGTTTCAGTCAGGTTTCAGAGACCATCACAGCACAGAAACAGCTTTAGTGAAGGTTACAAATGATCTTCTTATGGCCTCTGACAGTGACTCATCTCTGTGCTTGTCCTGCTAGACCTCAGTGCAGCGTTCGATACTGTTGACCATAATATCCTATTAGAACATTAGAGCAGAGGTTCCCAAAGTGGGGGGCGCCATTGCAGGAGGGGCGCGGTATGAGAAAAAAAAGAAAGAAGAAGAATGCTTGGACACTGTTAGCATTTTGGACAGGTTTTTGACGGGGCTCCCACACAAATGCAAAGCAGAAGATGAAACTTAGCCAAAAATGTTTCCAAACCAACTTCCTTCCAAGCCAAATACTAGAAAATATGATGAAGCATATCTTGCCTTTGGCTTCAGCTGCATAAGTGCCAAAGTAGGTCTCCCCGACAGAATTTGTTTCCCCTGCGTCGGGAGCTCGCGCTGGGTTGCCCAAATCACGGACAAAAAGTATCCCACATTCGTGATTTTTAGTTCACAAACACTTCTTATAATGACTAACTACTCCTGACGTTTTGGAGATGTTAGCTCTTTATACAGTAAAGTTACAGTGGGATACAAAAAACATCAAGCTGATTCTGCCACAATTTCCCCTCCCTGTCCAAATCACAGTATCCCACAGTTGAACCCATTTTGCACAGAGAGGCATTTTTTGAAAAATGTATTGATAGCAATGTTGAATATTATTACACAGGAAAAAAACCAACTACACATAAAATAATTACACCATGACGCCTCAGGCTTTCTAAATGGAGGAACAGTAACTGCGTGTGTATTTGTAAGCGTGTAAAAACTGCAGATAGTCAGATTAACAGTAACAGTATTTTGTCTTTATCCGCCATTGTAGAAATTCATCTCATGTAAACAATAATGTGGCGCACAGTGTCACGTGAAAAAAGGCACATACCTTTGTCGTTATGGGTGTGTGTGGTTGGAGGATGTGTTTGTGGTGGGGGTGTGGGAGATTTTCTTGTAAAACAAGGGGGGGCTAGCAAAAAAAGTTTGGGAACCACTGGATTAGAGCATGCTGTAGGTATTACAGATACTGCGCTGCAGGGGTTGAATTAGTGCTGCAGCTGAGAGGTGGTAAGTGACGAAGTACAAATACTTTGTTGCTAAACGTCAGTAGAAGTTTTAGGTGTCTGTACTTTACTCAAGTAGTTTTTTTTCTTACTTCTTTTTACTTTTACTCCCTAAAATTTTAAACAAATATCTGTACTTTCTACCCATTACATTTTACAAAAAAGGCTTCTTACTTTTGGTGTAACGCATTTGGGGAGAGTTATTAGTTCACGTCACTGTGAGCCTTCAAACATCAAACTTTGAGCCTAAATAAAAACACAAGAAAATCCTGTTCGTTTATAAATCATCAGAGGATGTTCCATAAAAAGAGACGATGTCTGCCTTTCAGAATCTGTCAGAATTGAGCTGCTCAATGGTTTCCATTTTAAAATAAGATATATATGCAATCTAAACTAAAAAATACCTTTACTTTGTGTTCTTGGAAGGTTTTCTGACATTTATAGGAGGCAAGGTTTTGTGCTGCTGAAAACAGATGTTATGATGGTATATACATTAATTGATATTAATAATTCAGTGTCCCTCAGATTATTGGCTAAGAGTTGTACTGGCCCATGTACATTTTAATTAGATTGTGAAAAAAGTTTTTATTTTTATATTTTTAAATATTAATGAAGTTTTTTTAACACATTATTTCATATTATTTCACTCTTAATCTGAAAACAAAAGCCTTGATATTCATAAGGTCTAGTACACCCCATACCCCCCACACACTTCAGCTCCGGACTGGATGCATTTCCTGCTGCAGCTTCCATGTAAAATAGGGATGGTGCCATCAGCCTTCATTAAGCTGTATAATTTAACCAGTTCATCTGCATATTTTAATACAACTTCTGGAGACTTACTCCAGATTTTTCTCTGTGTAAAACAAACAGCAGTGGATGGAAACAAACTGTACCAGAGTCACTGCTGCTGTTGTGTTATCAGTGTTTCTGCTTAAAACTGGGGGCTGCATGGGCCAGGCTTTATATTCATATGCTGCTTCTAAATACATTTGTATTTCAATTCTGTTTTTCAGTCACAAATGTGGGTGAAACACTTGCGTTTACATTTTTTAACACATTGGTGAGCTACAGAGCCATGCATTAAACGAAGCATCAAAGCAATGAATTCATGTCCAGAATTTTTTTAATCCAATTATTTCAAATACTTGATGAATTGCTGCAATGGTTTGGATCATATCTATCGAATAGATCGATATGAACAGATAGCCATTTGTTCATGTAAATAGAGAGTCCTCTTCACATACTAAGGTTAATTATGGAGTTCCACAGAGTTCAGTGCTAGGACCAATTCTGTTTACATTATACATGCTTCCCTTAGGCAGCATCATCAGAAGGCATAGCATACATTTTCACTGCTATGCAGATGACACACAACTTTATCTATCCATGCAGCCAGATAGCACACACCAATTGGTTAAACTGCAGAAATGTCTGAAAGACATAAAGACCCGGATGACCTTTAATTTTCTGCTTCTTAATTCAGATAAAACTGAGGCTATTGTACTCAGCCCTGAAAATCTTAGAAATATGGTATCTAACCAGATGCTTACTCTGGCCTCCAGTAACACTCTGAGGAACCTTGGAGTCATTTTTGACCAGGATATGTCTGTTTCTTCTTCACTCACTTTCATCACTCTCAGTTCATACAACTCTCTGCATTACACCTCTACGCTTTCTGTCTCCCCTTGCTCTCTTCCATCTCCTCTCAACCCCTTCTTGATTCCTGTTGAATGATTCCTTGATTCAGAGATTTCTTCCAATTAAAAATGGAGTTGTTTGTGTTTGGCCATAAATAAAATTAGAAAAACTGAACTGAGTCTGGTTTCTCTGTTAGAACCAAGAGAATCAGAGCATAACCTGCGGCTGAATGCTGCTCTCTTACTTGAGGGTGGCAACTCCTTCAGGTGTGGTCGGCTCGTTGAAGCGTCTCATGTATTCATGCATTTCTGGAAAACTCTTCTTCATGTAATCCTCCGCACTGCTTTCCCTCACTGTCCCAAAACGAAAACCCTGTGACGGATGATGCAGCTGCACACACCAACAAAGAGGAGGAAGAGGACAAGAATGAAGGACACACAAACAGAGGAAACAGCGGATGCTGCATATTCAGCTGAAACACATGAAACATCTGTGAACACATTTGACCTGAAACACCCCACAAAGCTGCACAGTAGCACTCACGCTCACATTCAGTTTCATGTTTCTTCTTAGTCATGCTTTATTTTATAGATTACATCCAGAAATTTCCTTCACAGCCTCTTGATACACTATGAGGATAGGCGGCACCCAGAAAGCTGCAGGGCTTCACATTTAAAATAAAAAGCTAATCACACACAGATGGACGTCCAATTAAAGCTCCCTGAGCTCCCAGCAGTGCCGGCTGTGCAAACACTGAGAGGCGTGCTTCATGCTTCAATCAGCCGCTGAATTAAAAGTGTAATTATGACAAGGCAGGTGATCCACAGAGCAAATTTAATCTGTAATTGTTTCAGGACGGAGAGCACAGAGTGAAAAGAGTCTGCAGAGAGTTCACAAACACAGATCTGACCTCGCCTGAACCAGCAGCACCACATCGCCTTTATCATGAGACTGAAAAATGTTTCACAGGAAAAACACTCGTGGTCGTCTCACTTCAAACTCACCGTGTGACTGCAAATTTTGTGTGTGTGAGTGTGAAACTGATGGTGTGAGACCGGGCATGGTTAGAGGTGAGAAATGGTCGAGTCCTGCATCTTCATATTATTGTTGTTCCAGGATCACCAACTGACCAATTACAATGTGATGTCATAATTTGGGGGTAAAAGTGTGGGACTAATAAAGGTTTATCTTCTCTTAATTAATTCATACAATATAATAAATATATTGTCAAGTTAGGTTTCATGTTAGCCAAATTTAGCTAGTGATAGTTTTTAAGAGCATTCGCTAACTTCCTGGCTAATGATAACTGAAGGTTCAAGTTGTTCTTGCCCAACTTGGCTGAAAATTTAACTGGTCCTTGACCAACATTATTATAATGATGCAGGATGCTAATCTCCAGTATGAGCCCTATATGCTGAACCAAAGGGATGCTTCAGAAATGTTTTAGTCCCTCAGGATGTCCTGTTTGCACTCTCCTTGCTCTACGTGTGATTGGAGACTAGCTGAAGATCCTGACACTGACAGCAGAACCATGACAAAATAATCTAACCTTACGGTCTCACCTTGGCATCATGGATCCCTGAGACCTCCTCAAAGGTCTTCTCTCCCACCATGACAGCAGCAAGGTTGGCGGTGTAGCTGGACAGCACCAGCAGACAGAAGATGGCCCACAAGTTCATCAGGAAGCGGCCTGTCCAGCACTTTGGGGTCTTAGAGGAGACGGTGCGCCCGAACAGGATGGCGTAGCACAGGTTGAGAGCCGATGAGTAAGAGAATACCCTCACCCGGTTGCGCCCATGAGGTGTCATCCCATAAGGACTCTTCCACTCGTAGAGCGTGAGGAAAAGTGCAGTGATGTGCAGCGCCAGGAAGATGCCCACCCACATGGACCAGTGCAGGGGCCACATGAAGGCCCCGATGGGGGCTGCTGTGTCCTTACTGCGCACCAGGATGCCCAGGCTGGTGGAGAAGAAGGGCGAAGTGAAGTCGATCACCCGGCTACGGGCAGAATTTATGCTAAATGAGGTGACGGCCATGTCTGCCAGACCATTCAGGAGATCTCCCACCAGCCCGGTCCAGCGCCCTCCCTTCCAAGCTCCATACTTTCCGTCTCCGACGATGTAAAGGTCAAACTCAAAGCCTAGGTCCTCAGCCAGCTTCTCCAGCAGGTCTATACAATAGCCATAGCAGCACTTGGTGTAGTCTCTGGGCAGCGAGCTGCTGTTCCCAACTGCCACTTCCCTGAAGTATCTCTCCAGGGTCTCTGAGCTGTTAGCGGCAGCATCCAGGCAGAATTGACCAGCCGGGCAGCTGCCCTCGTCGTCCACGTCCCGCGTGAACACGAAGGGATGTTCCACCAGGGTTACCACCCGGACCCGACTCCCTGCCACCGGCAACCCTGCTCTCCACCGGCCCCTGGTCCTCCCACCCATCCCATCCATCCTGTGGTGAGGCTTGGGTCCTTGCCACACTTGCTGGTCCTCCACCTGCAGCGAGCCATCCTCCCAGCTGCCTACTGTCACCCAGGTGGGTTGACCCAGTGCGTCCCGCCGCAGACTCCAGATATGGAATCGTTGCAGAGTAATAACCTCAGACCAATTCTGGTGGACTCGGACGGGACCGGTGAGTCCAGAGAAAGATGTGTTTGACAAAAACCTGCAGCAGAAAAAAAAAAAGCGGGTTGCATGTGAGTGGGGGCAGGGCTTGTGAGCAGTGCTATTGGATCATTGTCTACTGAATTATCAGTTTTTAACTGAGAGCAGAAGAAAATGGATCACAAAATTATCAGTCAATAGGCTAATAAATAAATATGATGCATACTTTTCAAACACGGTCTCTTAATAAAAAATTACTTTCCCACCGGGATCAACGCTTGACCCCGTCTAACTTTAACCATAAAAACTAAATTTTTAATACACATATGACCCTGATGTGTTTCCAGCTCTGATTGGTCAATATGATCGCAGACGCTATGTTTCCACCGATCATGAAGACGTTTTTTGGTTCTACAGATAATGTAACTCATGAATCGCTGTATGGTAGGCAGGAGATTGGACCCAAAATGCAGGACTCTTAACCAGAGACGGGCAGTAACGCGTTACTGTAATCCGATTACTTTTTTCAAGTAACGAGTAAAGTAAGGGATTACTATTGCAAAAAAGTAATTAGATTACTCTTACTTTCCTGTTAGCACGCTGCGTTACTGCGTTACTAAAACCGTGACTTTTTTGCAACAGTGTCTCATGACAATGACGTAAGCGAGTGTGACGTTCGTGGCAACAGCTGTGTGCAGATCAACAATGGATAATATGACGTGTGCGGGAGAGAGTATGACCGTGCAGCGTTTAAAGCGTGGAAGTACTGACCTTACTTTGAGTTCGATTCCGTAAAAAGTGACAAAAACATTAGCGTCCGCTGTTCACTGTGTGGGAAGAAAACTTATTTTTTACAGCGAAAAAAAACCCTAAACTTCCGAGCAAGCACCGAGAGTAGGCTGCCACAGAATAGGAAATTCACAGAGAAACTCCCAGATCCTTCCACTGACCGCTGCGACACATCTGCACCAGGGCAAACCTCCCTCCGCCTGCCCCTCTCCTGCTATACAGGTGAAAATAGAGCAACACGACAGCTGAGTCTTTGATTTTATTTATTTTCTGCTGTGTTTTACGTGCATCTATTTGAAAGACTGAGTGTAAACACAAAAAACTATTTTATTTTATGTGCTGGAATGTGCAGAAAATAGGTTTAAATGTTAAACAAATTTCTTCCAGTCAGAGAATATTTCATATAATTAAATATAGGCTTGATGCATAAAGTTAAAAGATTAAAACTAATAAAACCAGTTTTAAAAAGACACTTTTTCATTTGATTACATTTTATATGATGGATTATGCAGAAAAAGTAGAATTGGGCTGAAAGGTCTATCACTTTATTACCTATTCATGTTGTAAATCATGTTTTTGAAAAGTAACTAATTACTTAAAATAAGTAATCAGTAAAGTAACGGGATTACTTTGCTGGGTAAGTAATTAGTTACTGATTACTTTTTTCAAGTAACTTGACCAACACTGCTCTCAACACACCTGGGTGAACTCAAAATGCAGCTTTATTGCTGACTCAAGGGAAAATGATACAAAACTATACAGGGAAAATATAAACTAAACGCACAGAGAGGCACACAAGGGAACACACAGCATGAGGGACTGAGGGAGACTCTGACATAAATACACAGAAAACTAACAAGGAACGTAGGAGCACACAGGGAACACAGCTGACACGAATCGTGACGGACACAAACAGAGACTATCAAAGTAAAACAGGAAATACACAGAGATGTAGACCGGAGAGGGAGAGAGAACATGAGGAGCATGACAGGCTGGGGAAAACATGATGGCACAAGAACTCACACAACCATATAAATGCAGACACCCAGGTGGAGAAACAGAAGGCAACAACACAGGGGGAATACTGAACAGAATAACGTAGGAAACCTAGAATAATCCTTAACATAATGCAGAAAATGACAAAAAGCACAGGAAACTTAAACCGCTGGGCCAAAATGACCCAGAACCATGACAATAACGTGATGTTTGTGTCAGAGATGGTTTTTAATTTGTAAATTGTCCTGTGTTTATTCTCATGTCTTTGGGGCATTTAAGTTTTCTGTAAAAGCTGTAAAAGGTTAAGTTAATGTGGAGTTTCATTGACAGAGCTCTCTGTGACAGATGTGAGCAGATATGCAGTCTTGAAGTCTTTAACCTTAAACAACCTGAACAAAGTTTAAGTGTTCTTAGATCCTCATGTTTGATGATTCTAACATTAAATGTTTCACTTCACATTTTACCTTTTCTTCTCCTGCAGCCGATAATCTGTCTGCTCTGGTTTTATCTCAGTCGAGTATAATTTAATTTACTGTGAATGTGTTTGATCTGCCTTTGTGAGGAATGCCGGCGCAGCAGCTAAACCTTTTATCCTTCTAAAACTTGCAGCTCTGTTTCATGTACACCACAGTATTTGATGCAGCTTTCAGAGTTTCCTGCAGCTCGTGTGCAACTGTTGGTTTTGGTATTTGACAAATTTTCGCTTTCACACCTTTTAGGAACTGATATTCTCATAGTAGAGTCAGTGTCTGTTTTTACTTTTTTTGTTCTATAATTTAAAAAAATATTCATTTCATTTTTGCACACCAACTCTTGTGGTCATAAACTGTAAAATTATCTGTGTTCACATGTTTATAACTGAAAACTAAGGCAGACTGATGATATGTTTAACATGTTAACCTGTTTTAATGCAGGATTCACTTAAGGGGCGATCGTGGCTCAAGAGTTGGGAGTTCGCCTTGTAATCGGAAGGTTGCCGGTTCGAGCCCCGGCTTGGACAGTCTCGGTCGTTGTGTCCTTGGGCAAGACACTTCACCCGTTGCCTACTGGTGGTGGT